CTTTAAATAAACTAGCAGTTAAACCTGGAACATATGGTAAGATTAAGCCTTTTTTTCTAATTTTTTCATAACTAGGTTTTAAAGTACCAACTTGATCAATTATTATAGTATTAGTGAATTTCTTAATTGCCCTATCTTTAAGATCTGGGTTAAAGCCTTTTTCGACTGCTATATATTTAGTTAATAACAATTCGTTTTTTAAATTATTTTGGTTGGTACATATCATATCTTCAAAGCTCTGTTAACATAACTATAAAACGCAGACATTTTTTTGTGACTTAGTATGACATGATTCTTGGTGTGGGGGCATAAGAACAGAAAAAGGTTTCCGGTAAATTGGTGTTTATAAATTACCTTGTACATTCCTTTTCACCAATACATCTAGAAAAGACAAACTATTACTTTTCTCAATTTCAAACGTAAATTGTATGGATGGTTCAATGCTGTTCAAATAGTAAGCAAACTCTGTTAATGCCTTATTACCATATTTCCACACCAATAATGTGTCATCTACATGCCTTATGCAAATATCAGGTTTACATTTTGCATTATTTATGGTTTTAGTTTCAAATACATCCATATAAATAATTTATATACTTTTTGTGTGTTGTTTTTACTGGTGCGCCTTGTTTGTACCGAATTTCACGCAGCACAATCTATTCCCAGAAACAACATCTGAAAACGAATTTCCCCGTTATGTCGAAATTCTTCGTAAATAAATTACCGTCCATCTCGTCTTTATAATAACACACATATAGGTAACGATATATCCCAACAACTGAATTCAGAGACATCGTACCATAGACTACGGGTGGACAAGGCCAACACATCGTGCCATAGGCTACGGGTGGACAAGGCCAAATGCTTTCCATACACTGAGTTAATAATCCCAAATTCGTGTATGAATATTGAATTAAATATGTTCAAAATATATGTCTGTATTGAAAACCAATAAGTTGATCAATGTAACAAATGAAATTTAATACTCTGAAGGTAAAAAGTACTCCACATGTTATTATTTGTATGATTATTATCATGAACCCACAAAAGTACTTTGTTTTTTTTTTACTGTGCCTCCCCCCCAAAAAAAATAACCGTATGATGTTACTGGATTGATTATACAATTCTTTAAACAGTCTTCACTTTGAAAGCGCTTTTTGTAAATATTTCTCTTCAGAAAACATTACATTAAAAAATGAGAGAAAATATTAAAGAAGTGACGCACGAAAGAACAAACTAAGAGAAGAATAACCATAAACATTCAACTTGTGGAATAAAAAGCCTTAGTTCAAAATAAAGAGGATTAAGCTCTAAAATTCCATTTAAAAAAAACACAAAAAGAAACACAGAAATACGCCTATTTGAAGACTTGTTCTTAGATATGCATAAACAAACATGAAAACATTTACTTGAGGATGGAAAAACCCATGACTCCACTAAGTAATACCTATTTTAGTTAGACAGAATGATAAGTGTATTATCTTAATTATTTTATGTCATTATTACTTGAAACCTGATTATTTTAGGCTATTTGAAATAGCATTTCAGGTATTTTATAATGCCTCACCACTAGAGTGACGGTTAATAATATTAAGGCAATTCTATAGAAGTTCGTGGTAAACTCATTTTATGGATGTTCCAAGTAGTGTACGCGCTCTCGCACATATTGTTCGTGTGTGTAACAATTAACAGTTTTGGTGACTTAATACATTGAGAGAGAGAGAGAGAGAAAAGAAAGAAAGAGGAAAAAATTGGAATAAATAAGGCCAATAGAATAGAAAAATAAATTATTTCAAATATGCTCCTAATAGTAATGAATTTCTTGCCTTATTATTGTGTGTAATCAGATGAGATTATAGTCTTACTGAAAAATTGAATAAGATCATTTCTAAAGAACACTTCTCACATGGCGCTTGATTAACCATTAAATTGCCAACTTGTTCCTATACAATTCATTACCGGCGGGGTCCAAATAATACATTACATTGGGTCATTTTATGTTGTTGCCTGTTACAATACTCAGTGTAAAGAACTAATCATATAAATTGGGTGAAATCATTAATACATAGAGAGTGCCAGCAATAAATAGTGTGATTAATTACAATATTAACGGTATTTTGTTCACATTTTTTGCGTGATTCATGTGTTGTTATTTATGGTTCCTGCAACCAATAAAACTATGGACCCACATCAATCTGGTGCATAAGTAGTTTAGAAAAATGTGTTTAAAGAACCGATGTGATACAGTATAAATTGCGATGTTAAGCGTCCTTTATGTGACGTCATTTTAGTGTCTACTGACTAACAGACAACACACTACTCTATATTCGATGACGAGGAACCCACTTTGAGACTAATAATGGTTGGAGATGGCTTGAATGAGTAATGAAGAAAAACTTTAACATAAGTTTAACATAACACAAATGTACAACGTTTCGACAAGGTTTTGTCATCATCAGGTACTCTATAATAGTGCAAGTGGTAAAAAGAAATGACCCATCCAGGCGGCCTCTGGCCACCTTTCGGGGAAATAATAAGTGCGGAAAGTGGATTAACTGGAATGTTTTAACCTATTTACCTTCGTATTTTAATATTGAAAATTTCCCCTTTTTTTTCTCGTTAATTCTAGGTATGTGCAGTTTTCACATAACACGTGCTAAAGAAAGTCATTAAGTTCACTAGAACCAGCCTGATCGTTTCACATCTCCAGGAAAAGCAACGGCCCAGCACCCAAAGCAAGTACACACATTATGTTTGTGAAGTTAACAAAGACTAGCAGACCTGCGAAACATTTGTGGTCAAATTAGTATCTTTATTGTGTCAGTTCTTTAAATTCAGGATTTCTATAATAATACAAAAGAATTTTAATTGCAGACACCAACATCTATAAGTCCTCTTGTCTTAGGCCTAACATTAATTAAGCCTTTATTAAGTACGGTCTATATTCGATAAAGAGATAAATTAATACTATAACTTGTATTTTTTTTTGCCTCAGTTTAACTAAGGCTAAACTTTACTGTACTATGAAAAAATAAACTTTTAATCAAATTACCTTTTTTCATTTGTAATAAAGTTTTAATTTGTTCTAAAACCTGATAAAGGCAACACCCCTGTCATCATGAACAATTCAGAATACATC